ATTTTGAGTCCCTGTAGAAAGATAAATGGTGGCATAACGTCGCCATTACAAGTGATCACTCCAAACACCTTCATAATCACCGTTAGACTCATCCAACTCTATTCAAATTCTCTGCATTGTCCACAGATTGACAACCAAACATTCTGAAATGTTCGTACTGGAGTTTCTGGCACGAATGCTAAGCAATATAGAATACCGTTTCCAAATTTCTGAAGAAGTGAATTCGTCATAGTGCTATTTTTCGCATAGATGGTGTCCAACTGACCTTACTATATTGTGCAGTGGCCAAAACAAAAACAAGCAATGCGCATGCGCGAAATTTTATTTTTTTAAAAGGTTAAAATAACGACAATTTATCCATCGCATCCTGTATGTTATTTATTTTTTTTTTTTTAGCGAATCTTTTTGGCGGGACCAATATATATATATATATATATATATATATATATATATACAGGAAACAGTCTGACAGCCATGATGGGTTCTGTCTGTGGATGACTATATATATATATATATATATATATATATATATAGTAGTCATCCACAGACAGACTGTTTCGCTGTATTACAGCTCCTCAGTGTGACTAGACGTCCGATTGCTTCAACTCGACTGATCTTCGGCCATCGTCGCACGGCAGAAAAGAATTGAATTTTAACGTTTTTCACTATGCGAAATAGGCCGGAGAACTCAATTCAATTTACTCAAAGAATAATGCTTAATAGCAGTTGGAGCGGCTGTCTTTTTAAAAAACCCTTTCTCAACAGAACTCAACCGGATTTCCGTGAGTATATAGTGATTTTTAAGCGTAGTTTAGACGTGGCACAAGGCCGAAAGTATGGAGCACCTACTTAAGATCGAACTCACTGTTCTGTCGTAATTGTTCTTGCGAGACAAGCTTGCTAACCATTACACCGCCTCAAGGTGCCTTTCCGGCAACATATATAGTCATCTACAGACAGACTATTTCCTCGGTGTGGCTAGACGTCATATTGCTTCAAGACGAGATCGAAACCCGACTGATTTAACACCAGTCAGTTGTCTTACCTCTAGGCATAAAGGAAGGGAATTTTAACGTTTTTCTCTATACGAAATACCCCAGCGGCTCGGAGAACTAAATTCAATTTACTCGAAGATTAATATGTGTGTGTGTTTGTGTGTATGTGTGTGACACGTCATCAGAGAGCTCATGCTGGATAGAATACTGTTCTGCCAGGAAAACATAACGATAAAAACAGCGGAAATTAACCTGTTTCATGAGTGAATAAAATAAACAGAGCCTAAGGACTATGCTGACACAAAGAATGCAAGTGAGGGAATTACAAAAAACAAAAACTGAGAAACTAAGAAAACTGAAATGGAATATTTCCTCCAAGAACAACAACAGAGAACCTAACCCCGAAAAAACTCAACGGCCCTACCGCAAAAGAAAACAACAAGACACTACAACCACACAACAGATGAAAAGATAAAAAAACAACAACAACACACGCATACACCAACGTGAGACAATCAGTACCAAAAACAACGACACCAGCAACATCAACAAGCTCAAAACGAACACACAGATAAAACAAATGACGAACGTACGCAGAGATCTTTAAGGTGAAATACAGAAATGCAGAAGCCAAAACGCAGCGATCCTCAGACAGAACAGATGTCCCCACTAAAGCTCCCAGATCACCCAGATTAACCCCTGTTAGACAATCGATAGAGAACACGCTCAACCTTCCAAAATACGTGTTAAACCCCCAATCAAGACACTTGGTAGTGGGTATAGCATCCCTAATAGAAAACACAATGCAAACTTTCGAGCTTCGTCATGCTTACAAACATGACACGTACGGGCGAGTAATAAATCCAAGTAGCAGTAAATTCTCACTTGAAACATTTAAATTACCGAACAAAGGAATTAGGTTTTTCCCCATCGTCCTCCACGGTTTAATGAGGACACTTTAGCAAGAGACCTTTAGAAGAATATAGATAAAAGCCCACTACGAGGAAAATAGCTACACACCTTCCATACTCGAAACACTAAAAGAGAAGAACACAACATTCACCCCACATAATACGGACTCTACTATATAGACATTTGAAATGGCATTAACGAATGACATAAAGAAAACAACAATACGTAAGTTGCCACATAACAATATCATTGAAAGGGAAATGGGGGCCCTCGACACACGGACACATAGAGATGGCCTGGTCATTTCTCTGGCTGACAAAGGTGGTGCCATATTGATCTAAAGCCTCAACGAATACCTTAAAGAGCACAACAAACAACTAACCGACAAAAACACCCACAAAATCCTACCCACTCACCGAATTCTCCCCCAAAATTAACAAGCTCGCAAAACACGATGCCTCAAAATAAGATAATTGAAAAGTAAACATGTACAACATTTACACCCCAAAATATCACACCTGCCATCTTCTATCTCCTTCCCAAAATACCCCAAAGCAACAACCCAGGAAGGCCAGTCATTCCATCATTTAATTTCCACATAACTAAAATATCCAAAAGTGTAGATCACAATATACAGCCCCGAGCTAAGAAAATAAAATCCTACATCAGATACACAGCAGACCTAATAAACAGAATTAAACATATACAAACAGTATCAGAAAATGCAACTCGAGTGACCATGGACGTTAGATCTCTTTATTCCAACATCAAACACAACGAAGGAATAACCGCCCTTAAAGAAGCACTTGCTAAAATATTAGGTTGGTGCAAAAATAATGACGTAATAATGTCGTTTTTTAACGTATTTTTAACGTCAAAAAACGACATTATTACGTCATTATTTTTGCACCAACCTAATAATAAAACAAGGCACCTCCCCAGAAGTAATCACAAAACTTAATGAACACACCCTCACATTAAATATTTTCGATTTCAATAGAAGAGACTATATACAAGTAAAAGGATGTGTAATGGGCACCGTTGCAGTTCCATCATATGCCAGGATCTTCATGAGGAAATTTGAGGGGACATATATTTATCCTTTCATGGGTAATGACTGCATGTTCTACGCAAGATACCTCGATGATATCTTCTTCACATATACGGGCAATGAGTAAAAACTTACTGCATTGCTTATGTCCTTAAACATAGTATACGACTCCATTAAGCTCGACCCTGAGAAATTAACACGATTGGTAACATTTCTAGACAACGTTATCTACGTTGATAAAAACAGAAAACTACAAACGATACTACATACTAAAATCACCAACACTCACAACTATCCACACTTTAAGTTTTCCCACCCAAAAAACCTCAAAGATAACCTTCCCTATTCACAAGCACTTAGGATATGTTCCAACACTAAAGAACTAATTAGTTACATTAAAAATCTCGAGCAACAATTCACAAAAAAGGGTCTATAAACAACACTTAATCAGGGAACAAATAAATAAAGCAGTTTCGACACCGGGAGAAGACATCGTATAGTATAAAATAAAAATAATCCAAACGCACCCCTCTAATAACAAAATTCAATACTAATGTATCTCCACTATTTCAAATAATCAAAAGTCGCTGGGATTTACTATATCTCAGATCAGACCTAAAAAGTTTGAGGAGCCCGACCTTTTAGCATATTGTAGACCGAAGAACATTAAGGAAATCATAGATGGTAACCAAATTTCAGACGACAAGAAACACGATATAGACCAAGAATAAAAACAATAGGATTTTCCCAACCATGTAACAACAAAAGGTGCCTGGGTTGTAACCACATTAAACACACATCATTTCATTCACTAGCTCAGTCACTAACACTACTTTCAAAATATACAACTCTAACTGTAGAAGGCATAACATAATTATTGGAATCGGTTTCAGTCGGTTCCACACAAAAGATTATTACCTGTAGAAAAACATTTCCGCCTAGAAAAAAAAGGAAAAAAAACATGATTTTAATAGTCATGCAAAATTCACTATTATTGAAAGAATAGAAATAGACGCAAAAGATAAAGTTTCGAAAATACTTGAAGACCACGAAGACAAATGGAGTTTGCGCCTTAAACACTTTGTCCAGAGGGGTTCAATAATAAACTAAACCGCACAGGTTGAATTAATATATAACCCGATAGATCAACTCCACTCCATATTTCTCCCTCACACATAATCTCATTATAGTGGAATATACCCTACTACATAAAAGACGACACCACTCATGAAGGGCCCAAGTTGACACCACGAAGTCACATCACCCTCAACCACACTAGACAGACATGCTTACAGAGGTGATGAAGTCTACTATACACACACTTACGCACACGCACAAATTTATACATATGAAACATGAAATACACATAGCACACAAATTCCCTTCCCAGCAACCAATAAAGCTGTCAAAATGACTAAAGAGGTGCATCTGAGATTCATGGGTCTCCCGGCCTCTCCTTAAAAAAAAACAACTTGAAAAGATCTTTGACCAATCCCAAAACTGACCAAAAATTAACTATAAAAAAGCAAATGAAAACTACAGGACAGCTTCAGCTTCCACAGAGACTGTCATTAATCCTGATAGTTCACAGCTATTAACAAGTATGATTTATTTTCCTGATGATGGCCATGCTGGCCGAAACGAATCAATGAACCTAATGAAAAGATAAAACAAAAATATTAATATATACAACACAGTGTGTTTTTATCTATCTATCTATCTATCTCTCTCTCTCTCTCTCTCTCTATATATATATATATATATATATATATATATATATATATATATGTATGTGTGTGTGTGTGTATATATATATATATTAGTTAAAACCAAAAAATTAAAATGGTTAGTGGACTTGAGAAACCTATTTTATTGAAAAATTGTTTTAATAGGAAGATTTAATAAGTTTCGACTGAATGTAGTACTGGCTGCTTGGCAAATGTATGTCGAGTATTTCGCTAAAGTAAAGTAAACGGCTAATATTATCATAACTATCTATCTATCTATCTATCTATCTCAATCTTCATATCTATCTATTTCAGTCTGTTTATATCTATCTATCTATCTATCTATCTATCTATCTATCTATCTATCTATCTCAGTCTTCATATCTATTTCAGTCTGTTTATATCTATCTATCTATCTATCTATCTATCTATCTATCTCAGTCTTCATATCTATTTCAGTCTGTTTATATCTATCTATCTATCTATCTATCTATCTATCTATCTATCTATCTATCTCAGTCTTCATATCTATTTCAGTCTGTTTATATCTATCTATCTATCTATCTATCTCAGTCTGTTCATCTCTCTCTGTCTCTCTGTCTCTGTCTGTCTGTCTGCCTGTCTATCTGTCTGTCTGTCTGTCTCTCTCTCTCTCTCTATATATATATATATATATATATATATATACATGGGTTCTCAACCATTTTTAACAATGGAAAACTTGCACACTTAATTTTTGGTGTTATCCCCCATAATCATTCTATGAAAAAAAAGCTCATTCTATTTTTTCTAATAGATAATTTTAGGAATAGTATTATATATATATATATATATATATATATATATATATATATATATATATATATATATATATATATAATCGTTATATAATTATATATTAAATTAATTTTATTTTTAAATACTTTATGTTAATTAATTTATATTAATATATTAATATCTAATTTTTTAATATTTAAAATTAAATTTATAATTTATTATTAATCTATTAAATTAATTTATAATCTTCATATAATTAATCTTTGTATATATAATCCTTTCTTTATATATCCTTCTCAGTTTTTATTCATCTTTTACAATCAAAACATCCGTTAAAGTAAAAAGGATGCTAGCATGCATCGCTTGATCTCGTTTTCTGATAGTTTTAAAGTTGCTTTTCTATTTTTAATATGGCGTAGATAACTGTAGAATTGTACAAATTCTACTTATCAGTTATAACAGTCCCGTAGTGAAATTACTCAATGGACCACTAAAATATTATCTATCTATCTATCTATCTATCTATCTATCTATCTATCTATCTATCTATCTATCTATCTATCTATCTATCTCAGTCTTCATATATCTGAAAATTAATTTAATATATAATTATATAACGATTATTCAGTCAATAGCTTCGTCCACCGCAAGGAAAGTTGGCTTCCTGTGCGGTGCCAGATAGCTATAATCTCCTACTAATTTGCTTTTTTTTGTGTGGACCTCTAGTAATGTTACACACAGACCCGGAATTGTTACTAAATATCCTTTGCCGCTTTGTGTTTACAGCTATCACAATGTTTTAATTATGGTTTATTTATAACAGAAAGCAACTGGTGTAAATAAACCATGATTAAAACATTGTGATAGCATTGTCCGCTGACCTGAGATGGAACGAATACATTCAGTCAATAGCTTCGTCCACCGCAAGGAAATTTGGCTTCCTGTGCGGTGCCAGGAAATTTTTCTCGCCAGAGTCGATCTTTCAAATCTACAAATCAGCCATTCGCCCTTGCATGGGGTATTGCTGCCATATATGGTCTGGAGCCCCTTCTGTTTGTCTCAAGGTTCTTGATAAGATCCAGAGACGGATATGCAATGTAATTGGCCCTGATCTGGCATCTCGTCTGCAGTCGCTCTCTCACAGACGTGCCGTCGCCTCCTTCTGTCTTTTTTACAAATACTTTCACGGTAACTGCTCCGATGAGCTGCTTTCGCTGATTCCAAGACTTCATGAATTTAAGCGTTCAACTAGGCTGGCATCTCGCTCTCACCCTTTCACTGTCGAAACTGTTAAATGTAGCTGTCTCTTCTACTCCAATAGCTTCATATCTCGTACTTCTCGCCTGTGGAACTACCTCCCCATTTCTTGTTTACCTTATAGCTATAATCTCCAACTATTCAAATTTAACGTCAATCGACGTCTCCAGATGCCTTGATCTATCCCCTATCCTTCTCTTCATCCTTTCCTCTATCACTCCTCTTTGTTCTCGCTCCAACTCTGTAACCCCTTGCGGGCTAGTGGCTTACCGCCTTGCTTGGGTTTGACTGCTTCAAAATAAAAGCTTGACTTGTAACAGCCAAATCAGCTTATATATTGAGTGCACGAGTATTGAGTGTCTAAACAGATGTGTGCCACTGTAAGGTGGTGAACAATTATAAGATTTAATATGACGTTTGAATACCAACGAGACAATTTCAGCGTTAAGTGCCAAAGCAAATTGCCGAAAAAGAAACACAATTTATACCTCATGGGAAGCCTCTTTTTTTTTTTTTTTAGAGAGACAGAGGTATAAATTTTGCTGATGAGAACACGGGAGCACGTAATTCCGACTGGTGTGATCTGAGTGCATCACTTTGCGTTGGATACAAATGTAAATTCCATGACCAGGAAAAATCCATCTTCTTCAACTTTCCAAAATTCAGTAATCAGTGAAAGAATTGATGGCAACTTTATTCTGGAAAATTGTAACACGATTATTCATCCAGCACAAGCCCCAAGAATAGAGGGTTACAGAATGAGGTGGTTAGTAGTACTTGTATCAGTAAATTGTTATTATCCGACAAAAATTCTTATAATCCCAAATTAATTTCTGGCTTGAAATAGCCTGCAAAATGTTGATAAACCGTAAAAAGCAAATTAATCAATAGATAAATCGATTAAATTTTTCAAAGAAAGTCTTATCATAAATCCGTTGGAATCACTGAACAGACGGGCGGTGTTATATGCAGGGAAATAAGTGACCGTTTGATGGTGAGATATCTAAACGGCACATTGCATACAGAAGAACGTTCCATACCAATTCTAGGCGCGTTTACTCCGTTTTTTTTTTTGTTTGTTTTTTTTTTGTCTCATTCACACCTTGAAAAAAATCGATGAAGTCATGCTGCAAAATCAGTGATCGACCCACTTGCCTAAAAATGCTTTTTCCTCTTTATATGTGTCATTCAAAGGAGTCAGTTGAACAAAGAGGATGGCGTAGCAGCTGCTTATCCCAATTCTATGAATTCGTAATAAATTAATAATAGTCTTTTCTGTTTATGCGTTGCGTGAGATTTTCTCCTTGCCATCGACAGTAACATTCCTTTGCTAAATAGATGTAAGATGTGATCTGAAGCAACAGTCCGCATCACTCATCATCATCATCATCATCATCATCATCATCAAAACTTTTTCGATTTGAGCTCATGAATTAACATGCTCTCTCATCTTCAGTGATATTGTATACTGATTGGACAATATTTTGCTAGCCTTCTCTGTTCTCTGCAAGTTTGCGGCGTCGTTGCAGACCTTCCTTGATTGTAAAATTTCCCAAAGGAAAAGTCGGATCTTTCTGCCTTGTTCTATGAATGTCCCGGTTCAGCGTTGAGGCTATGGTGAAAGAAATGAAAGAGCACTATGGCAACATACCTCCTATCAGCTAATCAATATGGCAGCAAAGACTAAGACTTGCTGGTCACTGTTTGGGTAGCAAAGAAGAACTTGCTGGAGATGTTCTAATCTGGGTACCATTCCTTGGAAAAAGAACACAAGGTCGACTAAAAAAGATGTCCATTGACCATCTGATTAAAAACAGGGGATGCAGATTTGATGAGCTTCCAAATGCAATGAACGATAGGAATTAGTGGAAGCAGAGTGTCATGGAATGCCGTGCTTGCTCGCCCTGATGATAATAAGTCTGGATTTTAAGCAATCACCTAATATTTCACGGTTGCGTGCTTTTTCAAAAATAATTTACTTGCTGAACTCTGATCAAGGCGACTTTCTCTTCCCGAAACGTCTTATCGTGTCTTCAATAATAATAGTGAAATTAACTTATTACTGCATAAAGCTTTCTTAAAAGGCCTGCTCTTTCTTTTTAATCTGCCTTGCCAGCAAAGGGTACCTCCAGGGTTGCCGGATTTATAATTTTAAGTACTCTTACTCTCTAAAAAATATGGACACCATGAATTAATGAGTTAAATAGTTCTAGCATCCTAGCTTTGTAGGGGTTAATTAAACTAAAGAAGTTATGGAAATTACTAATTATTAAATCCAGGAGGCCCCAGATTTTTAATATGTACTAGACCACTCATAAACCCGTTGGGTTTCTTTTAAAAGTATTTTGATACACCCTATATATATAAGCCAAAAGTCTGGATTCTGAGCAGCACTAAATAAATCCTGGAAAGATCACCCAACAACTAATGCGCTCTATGGCAACATACCTCCTGTTAGAAAATTAATACACTAACAAAGACTAAGATTTGCTGGTTACTGTTGGCCTAGCGAAGAAGAACTAACTGAAGACGTTCTACTCTGGATACCATCCCATGGAAAAAGAACACACGGTCTAGCAAAGAAGATGATTGAAGACACGGGATGCAGGCTGAATGAGCCTACAAATGCAATGAACGATAGGAATGGATGGAAGCAGTAAGTTATGGAATACCGGGCTTGCTAGAGACGTTCTTCTCTGGATATCATCCCTCGCAAAAAGCCCACACTGTCTACCAAAGAAGATGTACATTGACCATCTGACGGAGGACACGGGATGCAGACTGGATGAGCTTCTAAACGGAGAAAACATCGAACAAGCAGACGACTTCAGATACCCGGGCAGCTATATTGCCTCCATTGAGAACAATGTTACCATCAGACTGCGAAAAGCCTGAGGAGTGATCAATGAAATGAACAAAATCTAGAAATCAAATCTACGGGACAAACTGAAGAGAAACTTTTTTCAGGGCTACACTAGAGTCCGTCCTTATATATGGAGCCTTAACCTGGACACTAACAGCCAAACTGCAAAAGAGATTAAATGATGCTTACAAACGAATACTTCGAGCAAGACTAAATCTTAGAAAGATCACCCAACAAAGAAAGGGAACTATGGTAACATAGCACTTATCAGCAAATTAATACGCCAACAAAGACTAAGATTTGCTGGTTACTGTTGGCGTGACAAAGAAGAACAAGCTAGAGACGTTTTACTCTGGACACCATCCCTTGGAAAAAGAACACAAGGTCGACCAAAGAAGATGTACATTGACCATCTGACGGAAGATACGGGATGCAGACTGGATGAGCTTCCAAATGCAATGGGCGACAGGAATGGATGGAAACAGCGTGTTATGGAAAGCCGAGCAAAGAAGATGATTGAAGACACGGAATACAGGCTGAATGAACTTCCAAATGCATTGAACGATGGGAATGGATGGAAGCCGTGTGTCATGGAATGCCGAGCTTGCTCGACCTGATGATAATGATGATGTAACCACTTCACGTGAGAAGCATTTATCACCAATTGTCGGACCTTCTTTGCTAGGAACTACTTTATTTTTTTTCGTAAGCAATAAAGAAAACTATTAGTTGAACAGTAGACTTTTGCATCACTCTTAGCATGAACCTCGTAACTGCAAGGTCTGTCACGACAAACATGTAAGTTTTCTCTGACAAGTCGCACAAAATAGTTTCTCTTCGCGCGTCTAAGAGAAAGAAAAAATTTGCTCCTATGTGTACATAGTACAAGCGGAAATGCCTTTCAAGTGAATTCTTTGGCAACACTGGGTGCAGTCAGGGCGAGTGGTTACTGATGAAATAATAAGTTTTTAGTAACAGGATTTCCTGATGAATTCCCATTGACTAATCACACAATAAGGAAGTCGATGTCGGAGAATTCTTTGTCTATACGGGCTGCTACTGCACATTCAAACAGAAATTCGAACAGAGCTCATGGCTTACTGGTGAGTAAAGCTTACGGCCATAACACGTTAAAAAAACCGGTTCTCGTACGATCGCCGAGGTTAAGCAACGTCGAGCCTGGTCAGTACCTAGATGGGCGACGGCTTATCAAGTGCTGTAAGCTTGTATGTGCGGGTGGTCTAATAGATATCGTCTAAGAATTGGATCTCGGAGAGCCGAGTTACAATTCCAGTTGGGGCCGTTATATTTACTTACGCGCAAATATCTTTGAGGAAGGTACGAAACCGCCTCTTCCCCCCCAACTACGGGTTAATTAGTAGGACTTGTATCAGTAAGTTATTATCATCTTTAAAAAAAAAGTCTTACAATCTAAAAACATTTTTTGACTTTAAAATAAAGTGGAAAAGACTGACAA